TTGCTAATTATAATATTAAAGAAGAAGGTGATATTTTGTAAATATTTGTAAATTTTACAAAGAAAAATATAAGTCGTATTTAATTAAATGTACTATTTAAATAATTTTTTTTTAATGTAATAATTTTTTTAATTTAAATAATTAAAAATAATATAAATATTACTTTGTTTACATTGATTAAAAATTTTATCCCGCATCAAACAACAATATACATATTTATGCAATACAATGTGCCTATAGTACGAAAACTTGAAACCCAGATAAGATTTCAGTATACTTGAGAATATACTTTACGCTCATCAGATAACAAAGCAATAAATCATTCTCGGGGTTAGCTTCCATTTTAATCTTTAATAAGCTTTGAATTTAGAAAAGATTTAAATTTAAAAACCATTTAATCAAATTTCAATATAGATAGTAAATATTTTTAATTTTCATTCTTTTTTGTTTTGTTGTTCATATTTGAATATAGCAAATTTATATTATTTAAATATTTTCATGTATTTTTTTATTATTGTTTTCATCATCAGTAATTTTATATATAATTTAAACTATATGGAACTGTATTTATTAACTTCAAAGTTAAATAAATACAAATATATTATTAAATAAATAAAGGTATGAAAATAAATACAAAATTAAATAAATATACATTGTATAATATTCTATAATATAGAAAAGAAATGAATAAGATGTATATAAATATATAGAAAATAAAAATTATTTTTTAATATGAATCAATATTAAATTGTAATTTTTATATATTATAATTATATAATTTTTAGAAATATAATTGATCATTAAAAGAAGAAAAGTTTATATATAAATATTAGCTTTCTTTTTTGTGGAATTTCTTTGAGACAATAATTATTTTAAAAAAATTTCTCAACACAATGCTTAATATAGATATATAATTCAGCTTTTAAACAATATAAAAACATATTCGCATATTTTCACAGCTTGACGTCCTTAAAAATGAATATTTTTACTCCTTTTTTTTTTTGCTTTCTAGTTTTTTTCTTGGACTAAATTTATCACGACATTTTTAAAAATACTGTTTGTTATCTATTATTTTGATGCTATGAATGCGATGGGAAAAGAATTACGTTTTTTTATCTATGATGTTATATAGATATATAGATAGATAGATTTTTAAATTTTTTGTATTGTTCAATAAATAAGAAAATGCATTATTAATGCATTTCTTTTTTTCAACATGAAATATTTTATTTTCAATAATTCAATTTACTTTAAGTCATGATTAATTACTATTTTAGTTTAGTTTTCATTACTATTATTTATTTTAAAATAATAATTTATTTATTATACAATCTAATTATTTATCTACATAAATATTTTTTATATTTTCTAGTTGTAATTGTATCTATATTTCTCGATGTATCGTTAATATATGCATACGACGATATAGTGCATATAAAAATTCTTTCATGCTCAAGCGATGTATGTGATCTGTAGTTTTTACGATTTATCATCTCGAGTAATTTTAGCTGTAATGAATTGCACGTGTTCCATTAGTATCGATGAAGAATAATAATCCGAAAAATGATCAATTTTTCTTCTTATTTTATCTTTAAAATGTCATTAAATGATTATACATTGAATCTTACTTAATACAAGTCAACAATTTGTCTGAATTATCTATTAGGATAATTTATATATATAAACGAATAGAATCATGCTAATTTCCATTTTATTCGTTCGTGATTTGTATAAATCAAATGGAATGAAAAAATTTGAAAAGAATTATTATTAAATACAATTTGATTTTTTATTAAAAAAAAGAATATAATATATTTTTAATATCATTAAATTTATAACATTTTTAAATTTATATTACTTGAATTTTTACTATATTTTTATTATTTGATAGTCATTTTTTTCAAAAATATTTGTGAAGTTGGACTTCATCTTTATTGAAAAAATGATTTTAGTGCAGGTACATGATACATTTTGAAGTATAGAGATTATTATATTATTTTATTTCGGTAAAATTTTTTGCAAATTGCTTAAAAAATTTTTTCTTTTGCATTCTACTACCATAATTTGAGTTTCTCCTTTGATATAGATAATAAAGTTATTTTTGAATCAATGTTAATTATAAGAAAAAAAAATAGATAAGAAATAATTATTTATAATTATTTGAATATAATATTGCTGTAAAAGTTTAAAAGTTATATATATCATTGTTGTATAATTAATGTTTCTAATTGTTTAAAAAAAATTCGAATTCTAATTTTTTTTTGATCTTGACCATAATGACATTTCATTTGCTTTTTTTCGATTTTTTTTTTTTACAGAGAGATAAGTTTTAACATGAAAATTTAATCTACGTCAAAACTGCTTATTCTACCTTGAAGATAGTAATATTACACTGAAACAGTGATATTGAAATTTCTTCAAATGTCCTCGTGTTTTCTCTTTTTTTTTTTTTTATTAGATGTTATATCTCTTTGATTGTTATTAGCAAAAATTAAATGAAATTAAAATTTTGTGTTGCAATTGTATATATTGTATATGTTGATTCCGAATTGTGAATTTATATGTGTATAACGAATAAATACTGTATCATGCTCGAAAAAATGATTGAGCACAAGTATATTAGACAAACGATTCACACGTAATATTTATTTGCTTACGCGATTATCACTGAAAATGAGAGTCAATGAAATTTACATTTAATGATATTCGTTTTGAATCCACGCATGCGCAATGATCTGCATAATTTTAAACTCTTCCTAACCTGACTGCTTTAATTTTCCAGCTATATTTAGATATACATTGTTTTTGTGTTGTAGTGGTAATAAAAGTGATTGCAACTGGTGATTTATCGGCATTAATCTTACAGCTTATATACATATGTTACGGACGAATGAATACTTGCCGAATGGAACATAGCAGTACTTCTTTCATTTTAAAACAAATTCTATTGATGTGAATTTAGCCATGCATATATTGCGATCATGAATAATGAATTATGTCAAAATGTCTATCTTTATGATATATAGAATAAATCAATTTTAATTTGAAGATTTACAGTAGAATTACTTGCATAACTCAAATAAGATTATTTCTTTATAATTATTTTCTTTCATTTTTTAATGTAAATGTTAATTTTCTTTTTTCTAAATAAAATCATATAAAGAATTTTAAAAAAATGTATATATATAAATAAAATGATAATATGAAAAATTTAAAAAAACGAATTTGAAAATTTATTATAAAAATAAAAAAAAGAATAAATTATTTCTGAACTTTCTTTATTTTCTGATAGAATAGGTAGAAATCAACATTCTAAGAATATGTAATCGCTAATAATATTTTATTATGCATTTTTATATATTTTTTTCTTGAATGAAATGAGCAATCATTTTTACATTTTATATTTTATTTTTTTTTAAATTTAAATAATTCACTAGAGATGTTTAAATTTTTCTATGAAGTCTACTTTCTTTTCAAATAATCCATAATCTATAATTCATAATTGTCATAAATCATGCAAATAATTTTTAAAAAAGAAATTAGAATTTTTTTCTTTTTCATTAACATAAAAATGATGGATGATTGAATAGAATTGGGTCATTTTTGATCAAAACTTTTTAAAAATTCTGAACTGTGATATCAAACGATTATATTCTCTTTAAATGATTATAGCTGCATATATTTATTTTTAGCATTAAAATTTAAGACTGTAATTTTTTTTTGTTTGTTTTATTTCGAAATATATTTATTGATATATATATTTTAAAAAAAGGAAAATATTTAATTCGTTTCTGTAATTCATAATCATATAATCCAAACAAATTTAATTTGTTTTTAATAAATATTATTTTAATATAAATAACAATGAAATATTTTTGTAATTTTCGTGAATGATGCATTTTTTATAAATTTTCGAATTATTTATTAATGAATAATAATTTATTAATGAATCAGTTATTTAATAAAATTAAATAAATTTCATTATTTATATGAATTACAAATTCTTGAATTTCTTAGTCTTTTGATACTATTTTTTGAATACAATTCTAATGATTACTATGATGCTCAAACATCATGGATCAGATATCTTAAGAAGAAAATTATTAGAGATTGTAAATTATTTTACTTAAATGCATCATTTAATGACGATAATTACGATTATTTAATTATAATTGCTCAATGATTTCCTGATGATTTAACTATATAAAAATTTGAATAGGAATGATCTTAAGTAACTGTACCAATTATGAGAAATATTTTATTCTTTTATTATGAAATTTTTTTCATTTTTTTGAAAGAATTATGTTCTTATATATTTTTATTAAAATCTTGATAAAACTACTTTCAAAAGTGGAAGAAGATATTAAATTAAACATTTACGATCACGATGGTATTTGGCTGTCAATGCAACAATAATCGAACATAAGATATGTATAGTTCTTATCCCGTGCACTGCACAGATATTTCTATAGCACGTGTCTACGGGAAAATCCGTTAAGTCTAAATATAAGTTGACGGTAACACCTCGTTGTCATATTACATACATATTGAGGTTATGCGTGATATTGTAAAAAAAAAAATTTGACCTATTTTTCGATTCCGATTTCTCTTTCATTTAATTCCATTCATTCTTATTATCGTTCAACTATCAATAACAAACAATTTTTTTATTGAAATATAGTAAATACATATATTTATATAATTGAAAAATAAAAATAAGAAACGAGGAATTATAAACAATTTTATTAAAAAATTTAAACTTTAATACTTTAATTCATATAATAAAGAAGCAGTACGCAAATAATTTAATCGAACAATTAAATAATAATTAAATGAATAATTTGATTAACAATTAAATTATTTTATGATAATTGTAATTTTACAAGACGAGAAATCATGAATTTAGACATTCATCTTATTTTTCAATTCTTTGTAATATCGCAATTTTGAATAATATAAATCTAATTGACATTTATAAATTCTTCTTCTTGTCATTTCAGAATTGTGTAATATCTATTATACATGAATGGTTGGAGATTTGCCAGACATCGTCGGAGAAGGACCGATTTCAGATCTAGGAGATCTAAAAGGATGGTGGAATAATCACGCTATAGTAGTCTGGAGTTTTGTTCTTTTCGGTTGTTTCTTACTAAATGTCACGCTTCTATTGGCATTCCTTATACGTCCGTCATTACGGACAATTTCTAACAGGTTCGTTTCTATTTTGTCATTATATAATTACTATATTGATATACGTATAAACATTTGAATACTATTATGCATAATTTCTTTAATATTGTGATAAATATATTATTTCTTTTTTCAGGTTTGTCATGAATTTAACAGTGTCGAACCTGTTGGTATGCGCTATCGTGAACCCATTGTTAATTATGGACGCTGCTTCGACATCGTCCAATTCCTTCATAGCCGAATCTCAATCCATTGGAAGTATTTGCGCGATATCAGAAGGTGCCGTGGCTATTGTTACCACATCCTCAGTCTTTTCGGTCCTATTGATCGCCATGGATCAATACTTTGCCGTGGTAGATCCTCTGCGTTACCGAGCTCGCGTGGACAAACTGAAATCTGGAATATTGATTATTTCAACCTGGTTCATCTCCATAATTTTTGGCTTCCTCGCTTTTTTTAATCCAAATCCTCAAAGTTTCTGGCAATCTTGCATATCCAGAAACAAAAATTTATTTTCCAATATTTCCTTCGATTTTCTAACAACAGAATCAACAGTTACTATATTGGATAACAACACCAACGATCTGAACATCAATGGAATTTCTGAAATAATGGAAACTGTCGAGTCTATCAGACTCGACGAAAATATGGATCTCATAGAGAATACTACTACTGTGATCTTTGATACGCTTACAAATGATACAATTACTTACGGCTTTGTCTATGCTATCGTGTACAGTATATTCGCTTATTTCATCCCATTTGTTGCTGTTTGCTGGATTTATGTTAGCATCTATGTGGCTGCACGTAGAAATTCGGAAAGGACTAGAAAAAGTGGATCTAGACCTATATTATCGTCATCCAGTTTCACAGAAGATCAAAATGGTCCACCTAGGCTTCAACGTCTTCAGACGGATACCATTGAGGATTTTCGCAAGTTGCCGAAGATATCGAGTTTATCGTCAATAGATGAGACGAGCGAAACTATGCAACCGACTGGTCAATTATCTCGAAGACGATCATTTTCGTCTTCCATGGATATAGAAGAATCTTCTCCTCCTTTAGAGGATAAGACATCTTCGGGCATTGTCTTCACAGTCGATTTACAAAGAGTTGAAATGACTCAATTCACAAATGATGAAAAAAATTGTAAAAATGATAATTCGTACAATGATTTAGTGATTGAACAAAATATCGATCAAAATAAGTATCGAGAGCAAGATCTGGAGTCTGAAAAAAACGACAGATCATCGAAAGATTTGAAAGAAAACGAACAAGTGACGGATAATTGGATGTCAAGAAGTTTAGATATCGAGGAAAGCAATGAATCTAAAAACGAAGTTCGTTTCGATTATTTTGATAATTTAAACGTTCATAATAAAAAGTTTTCCTTAGCTCTTTGCGATAACAATTCATTAAAATCATTGAAAATTTTTCAAATGGAAGGAGAAGAAAGTTTAAATAATGAAGTCAAGCAAAATGAGCTAAAAGTAATTCATGAAATTAATGATCAAAGAGAAGAACATATATTACAAGTAGATGATGACTTGACAAATCAATTATCAAACCAAGGAGATTCTAAAATATCACCGAGTCCTTCAGAAGTGAGATCAAACCGTAGATTATCGACGTTCTTTAATACAGACACTTTGCAGAACACATGTGAAGATAGTACCAAGACTGAGAAAGATAATAACGGTAGCAATGTTATTATAGAATCGTCCTCGTGTCTGCTGACGCCAATAGTGACGATTACACCGGCTCCAAGTAAAAACGATAGCTTGCATCGTGTGTCAAGCGTGAGGAGTACCTCGAGCTACATAAATTCGTTGAAAGACCGGATAAGCAATGGTTCTATATTTAGGCACAGAGAAGAGACCAGAGCAGCGCGAATAAGCGCTCTGGTAATCGTGATGGGTCTGACTTGTTGGTCGCCATATGTAATATTGTTGGTAATGAAAAATCTACCTCGGTATACTGACCAACATTTGTCTCATAAATACGACGTACTGGCCTCCAGTTTCTTGATTCTGGCCGCCTATATTAGTCCATTGTTATTCGGTTATCGATCAAAACGAGTGAAGCGTGAATTGAGGAAGTTCTTCTGCTTCAGAAGAGAATTATCTTATAAAAATAATCGAAGTTTGATGGCCAAGAAAGTGTTGAAAAGACGGCATAGTAGCAATCTTAGTCATTTCGAGATAGATCATAAATACAATATATTTAATTGTATGTACGGAAGGAACCGATGGCCGAAGGAAAAGGTTCAATTTGTTCAAGTACCGGACACAGCATTGGTTGTAGAAACTTGTAGGAGCAGTTTCTCCAGTGGAGCAAGTACTCAGATTTCGAGCACTTCGACGGAGGAATGTTGATACATATCCATGACGTTCCTTAGAGTTTGATGTTCGTTTGAAAAGTAGTTTTTTAGTAATGTCTTTTATAAAGTACTTAACACGCAATTATAATTGTATATCATTTTAAAATTGTTTTTTTGTGAAAGAATTTCAGATAAGATGTTGATAGATAGAGACTGAACGAAAAGCTTAATTGTATAAGATGGTTAAAAAAAATGGTCAAATAATTTAAAAATATGTAGTTCTTAAATAATTTTCTAAAAAGATAAAAATCAATGTTCAAAATTAGAAGAAATGGGCAAAATGAGAATGGGCAAAATTTCTATTTCAAGTTTTGATTTTTCATTTTTCTTTTTAAACTTTTTGTAAATAAATAAAATTTGTTTTTATTTTTTCTTTCAACAAAAGTTTTAAGAAAAGTGATAGTTATAATAGACATATTTGTTTTGTTTATTTTAATGTATACTATATGTCTTCAAATTATTTGACTTATTTTTTTAGATCTTGCAATATTGATAATTATAATTGATTATATGAGATAATGTTTTAATAATTCCTCTAACGAATTTTTAAATAATCACAATAAGACAAGAAATATATCAAGGATCGTGAATTACATATGAAATACACAGATAAATTTGTGTAAAGCAAACCGTTATGTTTGTTTCATCAATTTTTCATTTCATTTTTAAGATGAGATATCATTAGTATTACATATATATGTATAAGTTATTTGATATATACGTAACATTTAATTACGTAATTTATAGAATTAAATTAATAATATTATCGATGAGGCTGTATCAAAGATAAATAGGTTCTTTTTTTATTCAAGTGGTGACATATTTTTCATCACAACATTTATAAAATAATACGTGCAATTTCATGCATCATTGTGTTCGCATAAACAATTACTAAAACATAATAATAGTTATAATAAAAATAATGCTTATAGATTACAATAGAGAGGCCATAAGTATTGATTGATCTAGTCGATTTAAATCTACTAGGATAATAGTATAATAAGTTCCAACATCTCTTTATTCTTCCATTAAATGAATTAGTTTCACTTATATACTTCACTTGCTTTTTTATCTAATTGTAAATAGATTAATATTTATTAGTTATAAATTTTTCCATTTATTTATATATATATATATAAGTCATAATAGATATCTAACAATAATTTTCGTCCATATTAAATTTATAATAATATATTTAAAATTTGAAATTTGTCTATAAACTTAAAATCATAACTTGACTCAATACGACTGGTTTAACCAATATTTATGAACTTCAGTGTAATATGTATGAGTATAAAAAATGTACTTGTGGTCTCTACTTGATTATTGGATAATATAATTAAGTCATTTCACACCATTACATGCGTGACGACAATATTATCACGTGAATAATATTGTGCGATGCGTAAAACATTATATTACTTTTGCGCATTGAATAACATTTTATTGAAATATTTGGCGTAATTTAGCGAGGAACTATTCAACGACACTTAAGCGTATAACATTTGAACTATTTATTATTGATAAATTTTTCAAAGTATTTTCGTAAATAAATATATGTATATAAAACATATATGCATACACATCTTTAAATATATTATACAAACAATAATAATATTTCATAAATCTATTGAGCCTTGAAGTATCAAGGATGGTTTACCGACTATTTTGTACATTACAAATAAAAAATCTTTTTTATTTATATTAAATAATTTGTACATAAAAAAAATAGTATAATGATAAATCTATCATATACCGCATATTACACGATGGTTCGTGTATATATGTTCGAACTTGTATTTTTGTATGAAAACACATAAACATATGTATATTTAACAAGTTGTTTTTTAATAATATAACAATAAATAAAAATTTATTTTGGGCTTCTTTTATCAAAAAATAATTCTACAATATTCAAAATCAATTTTAACAACATTAAAATGATATTTATAAAATTAAAATTATTACAAAAATATGGAGTTTTAAATTTTCTAAAATATTAATTATAAAACATTTGAATATTTTAATGTCTATTACTTAAAATTGTGAATATTATGTAATTTATATTTTATAAAAGAAGAATCAAAATGTAACTATTATTGAAGTCGAACTTATTCCAATAAATATATTACAGTCACTTAAATTCACAAATGGATTTTTTTCATTTCACAAACAATCATTTATATACAAGTTGGATTTTTGAAAATGATATTTTTCTATAACTTAGAATTTTCAAATCGATGTGGTGGTGGTGGATATATTCGCGGAAGTTCTAAAGTCGATACTCGACCATCGTCATTAATGAATATGTTATTATCATATCCAAATTTATTGTTAATTTCCATCTTTGGTTCTTCTTTAACAGCTCCATCCATCAAGAACATTGTTAGAAAGAACATGATAGAACCTGCAAGCAATTAAAGTATTATTACTTATTAATTAAATGAAATTATTAATAAGTTATTAATTAAATGAAATTATATTATATATTGAATTAATATATTAATATAATATCTCTAATATTGAATTTCTAAAATACTTACTAATACCATAGAAACCAGCGTAATAAATATAAAGAGATTCTCGGAAACCGATAGCCATTCTGGTTGGTTCGACGAGTATCGGTAAATTTCCACCGATATTGTTCATAACGAATAAGAAAGCACCAACAGTGGTCGATCTAAAGTGAAGAGGAACTATTTCTACAACCACTGCAAATACGATTCCAAACCACATTTCGGCTGCAATTATATATATATATATAAGATTATATATATTTCATTTAAAAAGATTGTTAATATTTTAATTATTTTTCTAATTGAATCGTTCTATGATAGCATTTAAAAATATTAAAATTATAATGAATGTAAATTTACCGAAAAAATAAGAAATTCCAAGAGTAATGATAGCCCATAAAGGATTGAAATATACAGAGCCAAAAGCAAACGGTGTAGCAATTATTTGGCTAATGGCTAGAACAGCTACCCGCGATCTAATACCCATTTTCGCAACGAATTTATCGCTAATTACTCCACCAACCACAACACCGATGCTACCGATCACTATGGTAACTGCGAACAACCACCAGCCCAAATCGTAATCGGGGAAGTAATCTCTATAGTAGAGATCGCAATTGTAGGCGAAACACATACCACCTAGAAATAAAAAGTTTCCTTTAAATGATCAAAGAAAAGAAATCTTATAACGTTTTGTGAACAATTATTAAATTAGCATATAAAAAAAAGACTCTTCTTTCAAAAGAATAACTTATTATATACAATTAAAAGAGCACATTGTGTAAGATTAATAAGTGAGAGTTAGAATTTTGAGAAATGCAGATAAATATATCTAATTTATATATAATACTCAGAAATTTTTCTGGAATAAATTATCTGGAGTAACCAGATAGACTCTAATATACCCTTGAAGAATGTATTTTTCAATCCTTCGCGTCAAGGTATTGCCCTTTACCGCAATGTCTGATGCTGGCAGCCAAGCATAATAATATTATCCTCGGTTGTAAGATCACTTTCCAAATTGGTAATTTTTTCCCATCGGCGTTTGTTCCTTCCTCGCCGATCGTCTTCCTTTCCGGTTCAGAAAGTGTAAAAGTAAGAGCAGCTATGATCAATCCGATTATACCAGCTCCATAGTAGCATGCTCTCCAACCCTATTCAAGTATTTTATTATATTTTCTTAATAAGATATTAATCTTTGAATAAAATAAATCGTGAGTGTTTATTAAATAAAATCAATGTTTTTTGTTTGAAAAAAATATATATGAAAATACCAAATTTCCAATGTTTAATCCTGGAATATAACGGCCAACGGGAAATGCAATGCCATAACCACCATAAATGCCCCAATTGAATATTGACATAACGAGTCCTCTTTGCTCCTCTGGGAACCAATCGGAAAGTAAACCCGTAGCCAAGGGATTGCATCCTGCCTCCCTGTTTGTTTTATATTATATAATTTAAATTATGATCGATAATGGATTGTGGCGTTATAATTTGCAAAAAGAGAAAAAAAAGAAAAGAAAGAATCTCGTCCTCGTCATTTCATTAATTCAATAACTTTACTGACAGATGTTAGATCCTAGTACCTTCAAAAGAATTAATTTGAAATTTGATCATCAATATTAACTGATACATAATTAAAAATAAATTGTTTAATCATTATTTATTTTTAATCATTATTTTTTATTATTATATTTATTATTATATTTTTAATCATTATTTATTATTATTATATTTGTATATATTATACAAATATATATATTATACGCGGAATATATTAAGATTATAATAAAATGATAGATGTGTCGATAGAATGACGAATAATTTAGCGTTTTCTTCTTACAATCATCGTCACGAACAAAATATTTGATGGATATAAAACTGAGATAGATTAAAAAAGACATAATCGTTTTTTTTTCAACTTATGCAATCTCGATTTTATAAAAACTGAATTAGCGAGCAATTACGTTTGCCAGAAGATATTCGAATGAAGATGAAGAAGGTCAAGATCCAATCCAAAAAGAGAAGCATTTCACATATTTCAGCTTACCCTGCTGCTAAAACCATACGTAGAATAACCAATTGCCAATATTCTTTTACTGCTCCCATTAAAACGATAGCGATACTGAATACCAGCGTGCAAATGGTTAATAATCTCACTCTGAAAATGAAAAAATATTAAAAAATAGAATCAATCTTTGATGTTTCATAATGATGTAAATTTGCATTGAATTATTAGTTTTGAAGTTTCATCATCTAATGTTTTTCAAATTGTTTTTATTTAAATTTTAATTTATTTTAAATTCTAATTCTTATATTAAATTAATGCTCATCTTAAATATTATATATTTAAAAAATTAATTAATTGATTATCTTTTTCTTTTTATTTCGAAAATGTTTTGATTTGTATCAATGTGATATTTCGAAAACTCCGATTCGTTCTATCAATTTTATTTTTCTCGTAATTACATTTTAATTTTATTCCAAGAATATTCATCGAGTAACGTGCGCGCAAAAAAAAAAAAAAATTGTTTAATTATTCATCTAGCGTTTTTTATTCATCTGACATTATTCTATTTAACGGTATACGATATTCAATCTTTTTAAACCTTTATGAAGTAGTAGTAACGATAACAGTAGTAGTAACGGATATATCCACGCCTACAGTGTCAAGTAAGTATAGAAAGATTAAATGACGAAACTCTAGTCATGATAAT